TGCTGCTTGGCTGAGTGAAAAGGAGGCTTCTGTTGAGGATCAATTTCTCTCGCTTGGGTATCACCACCTGAGCGGCTTACTGGTACGCTTTGCAGAAAATCTTCTCTCTCAAAATCTTTTTTTCCCCATTTTCTCTAATTTTGTTAGGGTTAGGTTTTCCTTCTTTTTCATATAATCTTTACTCTGTGCGGCTCACTGGAACGCGATACTGACTCAGGCATGGAATCTAACCTCGTTATAAAGGTTCGATTTTTTTGCCCTTCTTGTAAGAATTTTTCTGAAGATTTGATCATATTTTTGTTTGCGACTTTTGCTGATCTTTTTTTTTTTTTTCATTTTAGCTGATTATTTATGTTTTATTTGTTGGTTTAGATCTTCAGGTATTTGATGAGAAAAGTATAAATATAAATCTTGTTTTTAGATAATTCTTAAATAAAAAATTGATAATTAATATTTGTAAATTGATAAGACGTGTGCTTTGGAAATTCACATTCTGCTGCTACGCTATTTGTTTCCCTTTTGATATCTGTATGTTACTGGAGTTCTATGTTTTTAATAAGGTAATAAATACTAATAAGATAAGAGGCCTTTAATGTCCATGATGGTGAAGTTCCTAGAGGGCAAAATGGATGATGTAAACGACTGTGATTTCTCAAATCCACAAGGACCTACTGAAGTGGAAAACTCTCGGACACCAAATGGATGCAGCTGCAGTTATGACTTCTCCACTAATTCCATCTATCTTATATGGTCCAAGGTGATGATATGGGGGAAAAGAAGACATAAAACACATGCTGCAATGGTAATACTTCATTTCTTTTACTTTCTAGCTTCTGTTTTCTGTTTCAAAGCAGACAGTGGAATGCAAATTACTACTAGAATTCTTAGCGTGTGTTATAATATCCTTGAATTCTTTGACTTATTTCTTATATCTAACTGTCCAATTAACTTATTTTCCTTCTAACAGAATGTATTTGATGGTAATATTTTATATTTCAAAGTTTCTTGCAATGCCAAAGTGAATTAGTTTTAACGAAAAATTTGTCTTTAACTTGTTTAATAAAACATTCTCATCACATTTTTTTATCTTACTCTTTTCAGTGTTTACTCGATCAAACTTCATTTCTTCCTTCCAAATGCTAAATAATTGAGAAAGACTTGACCACCCAATTAACAAATCCAGGAGTAGAGACTAATGCTGAAAGAGAAACCGATGGATAAGTTAATTTCTTTCCTTGTGTGTGTGGTTTTTTGTTTTGTTTTTTTTTTTTTTTTGGTCCATTACAAATTTGTCATTTTACATTGAACAGAAAACTGTTGCAGCACTTTTGTTTTAATTTCTGTATGTAATTTAATACTATTAACTACTTCAACTTCAAACTGGTGTTGCACGTCTATTAATATCTAATCCTGCCAATTTATAATGCTTGTTGTATGATTGTTATCTCCTTAGTGTGTTAATTATATTTAGGATTAATTCCACATATCTCAGTGTTGAATATAATTTGTGTTTGAGTTTGATATCTAATGTATGGTAATCTTTGTTCAAAAAAAAAAATTGCTTGGTTAATCTGTGCTATTGTCGCATTTTCATCTTATACTGCAAAGTTTGTTATTGTAGAAGATCTAAGTGTACGCTCTCTATATGGTAGTTCTAATAAATTTAATAGGTAGATGGAAATCATTATACTTCTTTTTCTATGTGAAACTTTATCTTTATCATCCTGTCTACATCTGATAATGAATATTTTTCATTTTCATTTTGTAAAGGATTGAGATAGACAAGATTTTTGAAATATGTATGATGCATTAGTTAATAGAGTTTCTTCACAAATTTACTTCAGCAGATGGGATACGGTAGAAGTTGATTGCTGAGGATGCCTCACTGCAGTTAATGGTAATAGCAGCAATAGTATGGCTGTTTTGTTTTTAATGGTTATGCCAAAGGCACGAAAGAATATTTTATGCAATTGTCTTACATGTTAAACAGAACAAGGGACTTGAAGATAACAAAACAAACCTTGATGAAGGCATGAAATCTATATCAGATCAACTTGGAAATGATATGAATCTAGAAAGTTATAGCAGATGTTCTTGCTGGTCTCAACCTTACCAAAACAAATGGAAGCATCTCTATTCAAAGTACAAAATGAGCTTCAGAACTCCCTCACAAAAGAAATACAGGTATGTATTCAATTGACGTGGAACCCCAGAATGTGCAACAGTCCAATTTAAATGCCATGTTTAATTTTTCTAGCTATTGTATTGAGCAATAAAGTATACTAAAAGCTCATCCTTCTTTCTTCCACAATTAAATGGGACCTATTTGTATCTTTTCGTTAACTTGACTGTACTTTCTGTTTTAGATTACCACATGTTTGTCAACTTGCAAAAAGAGCATTTGTCTTCATGATTTAGTTATCTTGCCGGCAATTGTTGGCAGCCTAAAGACTCAAGCAAAATAGTCTAGTGGCTGTTGTTATTCCACCTAAGGTGCTCTATTATTCTCTTAAAATAACTTTTTACTTTTGTAGTCTTTTCAAGCCCTCAGATATTATTCTCTATTTTGATTTGGTTGAATACAATCAAATGTGTCTTTTGGCCTCCATGGAAATAAAGTTGTTGCCTAGACTTTGCTTTTCTTCAAGGCAATAGTTTCTGGAACTTTAGTTAGTTTTTCTTCTGCAAATCTAACAGATTTTTCTTGAATCCAGCCCAGCCATGCCTTCTAAGGCTTGTGTTCAATCAACTGTACCTCCGAACATGGAAATGGGAGGTTGGAACTCAGTAAACATGGAACAATCTATGTTTATTGGAAGGTCAACATTTAAGAACAAAGGGAAAGGAATTTCTTTTTCTTGTACTCGACAGGTAATTCTTGAGTCTCCTATTTTTGCTGCCCCCCTTGCCCCAAAACATAAAGATATATAATAGAATTGGACATCTGGCCCTATTGTTGGATGCTTTCTGATTGAGAAATACTGGCATATTTGATGCAAAGTGATTATTGGCATGATAGTAGGAGTTGGGCTACCTGAAATTCTTTAAACCTACATGATTCAATTTATTTTTATACTTATCTGCTGCATGAAATTATGAAATGTTCTGTATTCATTCATTTGTGATTTTCTAGAATTAGCTGGGTTAGAATGTTGAGTTTCTCACTTTTATTTCAATTAAAATTAAGAGGAACAACTGCATATCTTTTCCTTAGGGGCTTA